CACTCTTAAAAATGACATGGTATATGCAACAAACAATTATTGGTTAAAGAGATTTAGTTGCATCATGCAAAATGTTTAGTTACAATAACTCCAATCTGATTTCTTGGAATACATGATGTTGTTACTCCAGCTAAAAGGTTTTAGTTAATGGTGATTAGTTATACTAACAATTAATTAAGTTTCGTTTACGATAGAGTAGTACAAATAACAAATTGTTTTAGTTACACGATACATTCAAGTGCATACACAAATTTTAGTTACCATTACAAAACAAATTTGTTATTACAATTAAAGAGTTGGTAATGAATACTAAAATCTGAGTGGTTATTACAAACCCAAACAGTAAGCAGAAGCAGATTGGTTAGTAACAAAAACTAAAAAGTCAGCTATCATTACGTACACATATAGTTTTGCGGCGTACTGCATTTGCAGGTAATGGCCGTCGAAGACCCGCGAGTGCAGTTGTGTTGTGTTGCGTAGATATAGTGTGAATGCCTAACATTGCGCAATTTTGAATCATTTATAATATTAGTCCAGGCATTTATGTTTGTGCCCCTTGTCATTTGTGGTAAGTATGTTTTATTCCACCGTAACGAAAATTACTAATTCCACAGTGTAATTCTTTACATTACCTACATATAGACACGTTTTCTCTTTCATTCAGATTTTAGGTATTTTAAACGTATGAAATTTCGTACTTGGCGCACTGACCAGCATAGAGGGCATACGAAATCATAATTTCGTTTCCTAAGAGAAAAAAAACTGCAATTCTGCAGTATGTTACAGGTAAACATACTCGTACCTACATTTCTACGTATCTCTGTGGTGTCCACCCACACTTTCCTGGTTTTCAATAGCATGACACATATTTTTCTAAAAAATTAACTGTTGTTTGTCTTTGGTGTTCTGGATAATTAGATTACGTGGTGTAAAATATAGATCTAAAATATAAAAATTGACAACACAAATTAGAAAATTTGACCAAATCAAATTCGGCTTAAATTATTAGTGAGATTTTATACACCTCCCCCAACAAAAAGATAATTTACCTAACAATCCCATCTTGATGTTATTGCAGTTGATTGTAGTTTATTGTTTTACTTTAACTTTATAGATGGGGTCGCCACGTAATGTGAACGAACCATCGCCTGTTGAAAACATTTTGCAGGAATGGAATTTAGCCGAGTTAATCCCTGTTTTTAATGGTAAGCCAAAAATATATTTACATTTCTGGCACCCCGGGGAACATCTTAAGTATCTTTTTTGGTTATCAATATTATACAGGATGAGTTTCTGTTTACTTCCACTTTGGGGATCTCGTAAACCTCTTACGAGATACATCGGTTAAATTAAAAAAAAATTTAACTGCCAGAAAAAGGGCATGTGCAGGTGGATAGCCTAGTTTATAAAAACGTCAAGTTACAGTACCTAATTACTTTTCGATGGTTTGTATATAATTGTATACATTGTATATAATTATTGGTTCATGTGCACATTAATAGAAAATACCCCCTCCCCTCATACCTAAGAAAAAAAATTGTATATTCTCAATGCACACCTCGGTTTTATACTTACGCGTTAGAAACGTAAACTTTATCATTTTCAGAAAATTTTGTGGACTATGACGTGTTCTCCAAATTGAGCGAAGACCATATTAAGGAACTTGTGCCGAAAATTGGTCCCAGAATTCGCTTTTTGGCAAAGTATAAACATTGGTTTGACAACAAATCACAGCCCATTTTAATTGATGAAGATACGCCATGGACACTACACGATACATCACATACCCAAGTTCCGGTTATTGAAAGTCCGACAACTTCTGAACCATCATCTATTGCCGATTGTCAAACAATTGCAGGTAACTGGTCTGACGCAATTGTGGGACTTAATGATGTTGAAATTGTTAACACCCCGACTTACCAATATAAGGTTACATGTGCAAAAAACACGGGATTAGAAGATTTATTAAATTCAAGCACAAAAGGCCGGTTAATTCTTTATTCGTATAATAAAAATGGTAAATTGACGTCAGATGACAGAAATAAATTAGTAGAATTTATAATCGAATCGGAACTTGAGAATGATTTGAATAGATCAATAAGCTGTGTCAGGTTTGAAGAACTAGCGCATGCTATCGTTGGAATTTTCACAAAGGAGTGTAAAGTAAGTACCTAATAAGGAATAAGGTTTATTTTAATTTTTCTGTACCTATTATTTATTCTAGGAAGTTTATTTTATGAAAACAACTCACTTCAAAAACGGGAAAACTACTCAATCAGGAAGAGGAAAATTATTTTTCAAATACTATAACTTTAGAAAGCAGTTGAAATCAGCAGGTCTTATAAAGACAAACAATGCTACTATATTACAAAGTTCAGATGAAGAAGGTAGGTTTCATACAACTTGCTTTTGTTTGTAATAGCAACGACCATCATTAATAGGCACAGAAAATGACGAAGAAAAATTGAACCAACTTGAGTGGTTAAAGCAGTATAAGGAACCATTCCATAAGGTGCAAGATTACTGGGGTAATACCTTTAAAGCTCGACAGGCTTTACTTAAGGAAAAAAACATCTATGAGTATTGCAACACTTTCCCTATTTTACGGTCAAGTTGCGGATACATTTTGGTAAATTGTACATTGGTTCCATGTGTAAACATTTAATTTTTTTCTTTTAGTTAAATAACGATTTTAATCTGTTGTACCCCAAAGTAGATGACTTGTTTTATGTAAATTTTGCAAAGTTTTCTGAAAAAATATTATTATATACCGAAGGACAGAAGGACAAGATCCTTAGAAGAAAATTAAAGGAAATTGAAGATTGCAACACTGAGGGTAATCTAACATGTTATTATTTCCTTTGTGTTACCTTGTACCATTATTGTTGTAGATGGTAAAATTATAAGGATATTAAAACTACTGCCATATCTAGTAACGCCTGTAGCAGTGAATAAGAAATGGAAACCTTCAAAAACTGAAATTGATGAAGGATTTTTGATTCACATTAAGGTAATATTTGTGTATGATGTAACCCACAATAACAGATTTTTTTTAGAATTTGCAAGACTTAGATGAATCTATCAAAGCTCGTGAAGCAAAGCTGTTGAAATTCAAATTAACACTTCAACCAACACCGATTATTGTTGGAAACGATTTGGACCACATTGATGCTTGTTATGTTCGAGTAGATACAGTTTTATATCAAGTAGAATCTCCTCTAAAAGCAATAGAAGTGGCATTCAAGGCAATTCATTCTTTACATGCATTGTACCCAGTAGAAGCAGAGCAGGTGTGGTTACTTATTCAAAAGTGCATTTTCAATTTGACAACAAAGTTTGATAAACCTTATACGTCTGTTACAAGTTTGGTTCCTCAGTTAAAATGATTTATTGTATTTGATTTATCTTGCAATATTGTATGGCATTCGAGATGGCATTTCTTTTTCGTTTCGTTCTTGTATGTTTTAAGTAGGTTAGAATTGAAAATTGATACTTGTGTTGCTTAGATACATTTTATACTTTAGTTTAAAGATTTCCCATTGCTTAAAATAACGATGGATTGCGCTGAATGTGGAAATCAGTTTAAGTCTTTAAAAACTTTAATTCTTCATTTAAAAATTACACATAAATTTGAGGACGGTGTCAGTACGTATTGTTGCGTACAAAATGGTTGTAACAGAAATTTTAATACACTACATTCCTTTCGTGCCCATGTTAATAAATGTCATAAAAGTACTTTTGGGAGTGTTAACCATGTTCACGTTGAATCACAGAATGGTACCTCATTTTTAGTCGTTAATAACTCTGTCAACGCAGCTTCAGATGAATTAGTAGAAACTATTTGCAACATTCAAGAAACAACATCTAACTCTGACATTGATTTTTTCAATAAGCAAATATTAATTTTTATTTCTAAATTATATAATTCATCTTTATTACCCAGATCTTATGTTCAGTTGATTATCGATGATTTGTCTGAACTCTTTAGTTGTGGATTCATTAACATTCTGAAAGATATTGTTTTTGATAACTTGAAAGATAGTGCTCCAAAAAATCACATACACTCCTTATTCAAGATACTAGAAAATCCTTTTCAAGGTTTACATACAGAATATTTGCGATTCAAACAATTTGAAGCTAAAGAATTTTTAATTTTGCCAAAAGAATATACCATCGGAGAAACCATGACTGCAGTACAAAGCAAGAATATAACGACATACAAATCTGTCAAATCAATAGGACAATTTATTCCTCTTAGATTACAATTGAAAAAATTTTTAGAAAATGGAAACGTGCTAACCATTATTCAGGCGTATATAGAAACACTGAAGTTGGGTATTAATGAAAATTCCGTCTCCAATATTATGCAAAGTCCACTGTGGTGCAAGATTAAGCAAAACTTTCTGCCTGATCAATTTGTGCTTCCTCTATTTGTTTACTATGACGACTATGAAACTGGTAATCCCTTAGGATCACATGCAGGCATCCATAAATTGGGCGGAGTTTATGTTCATTTAGCATGTATCCCACAATCCTATTCATCCCGTTTAAATAATATATTTTTAGGCTGTTTGTTCCATTCAGATGACCGTAAAGCTTTTGGTAATTTGGCAACCTTTAAAATTTTAATTGATGAATTGCAATTTTTAGAACAAAATGGAATTGAAGTAAGTATTGGCAATCAAATACATAAAATCTACTTTGCAATGACCCTTATGTTAGGAGATAACTTAGGATTAAATGCCATATTGGGCTTTGGAGAATGTTTTAATGCAAACTTTTACTGTAGACTTTGTAAATGTGCTAAGAGGGACGCTGAAAAATTATGTGTTGAAGATACAAGTAAATTAAGAACAATACAAAATTATTCTAGTGATCTAAATTTATATAGT